GACATGTAATTTTCAAGCTCTGCACTTGTGCCCCTAAATATTTATACTACTGGCTGTTTATTTTGCTCATGTTATTTAATTTTCTGAGATTTAATTAGAGCCTCTGGGAAATTTTGCCAATTACCAAATCCCTTTTTATCCTGCTCCTAAAATTTCCTCGCATGGCTCACGTATACTTACCTTACTGGGAAAACTAAAGAGAGAAGAATTCTCTTCTTCCAGGTTCATGGTACGTTCAGTTCCAGAGCCACTGTATTACCTTTATTTGAATGTCAGTGTTGAAAGTATTGTGTAAAAACACTAAAGTAAGTGCTTTCCTCGCTATAGAGCAGAGTTCCCAAGAAAAAAGTAAGATGTTGAATATACTCCTGTCCTGTCTTGCAAGAAGTTGTTCAAAAAACTATTTGGAAACAAAGAGGAGATGAGTTTCAGACTGTGTCCATGTAAATTTTTCCCTGAAGCTTAAAAAAAAAGAAAGAAAGAACATGGAAAAAGAAAGACAATATCTCTACTTGTATCAAGAGGAGCATAGTAGCTAGAATGCAGTTAACCCTGCTAACTTCGTATTAGTGGCTCTGCCCTGGCTCTAACACATTGCACGTTAAGTTGTAGTACTTTTCTGGTGATTCTAGATCAGTATATATGAAGCATTTAGAATACTTTGTTTTGGGGCCGGCCTGGTGGCACAGCAGTTAAGTTCGCACGTTCCGCTTCTCGGTGGCCTGGGGTTTGCTGGTTTGGATCCTGGGTGCAGACATGGCACCACTTGGCAAAAGCCATGCTGTGATAGGCATCCCACGTATAGAGAAGAGGAAGATGAGCATGGATTTTAGCTCAGGGGCAGTCTTCCTCAGCAAAAAGAGGAGGATTGGCAGCAGGTGTTAGCTCAGGGCTAATCTTCCTCAAAAAAAATAAAATACTTTGTTTTTATGCTAAGGGGAGAGGGAACTGGAAGCCAGCCTTTCTTGAATACTTAACTATGCACACTTCAAGTACTTCTCATTTCTTATACCATCCTTATAAAACAAGTTATTTTCCTCATTTTTACAGATGAGGAAATGGAGATTAAAGAAGCATTTCACATATTATAGTGAAATTATATTTATGCATTTGGCTCCCTTATTAGTCTGTGTGGTCTCTTCAGGCAGGGACTAGTATTATTTGTCATCTTACTTTCATTTCTAACAGAGTGTCTGGCACATAGTAGCTGTCCTGCAAAGTTTGTTGGCATGTGAAGGGCAACTTGCCCTGGATCACGTAGCTGGAGAATGATAGTGGCCATGTTCAAAAGCCTGTGCTCTTTCCCTCTGTTCCACACTGCCCCTCTATTCCCTGTCACCTCAGGCATGGGTTAGGAAATGGTGGTGGTGTTTGTATTAATGTCTCTTTAGTAGTTTTAAAGATTCCTGAAGTGCATTTGACTTATAAATTAATCTTTATTTAATGCTTCTGAGTTTGAGGTAATTGCCCTCATGTGATTTGTAAATTACTTTGGTAATAACCAGTCTGTAAGTATGTCGAGGTAAGGTGCCCCACTATATTCTGTAACTTTGTGATTTTGTGATCCTGAATTGAGCATCTCATAGCACGCTGATCACATTTCCTGGTGAATATACGCAATGATAATCAGGCAGTGTACCAAAGTGGAAATATCGTGGGCTTTGAATTCAGACAGATGACACTCTTTATCTGCACTTTGCCATTTACCCCTTGTGTAATTTTAAGCAAGTTATTTAACTTCTCTGTGCCTTAGTTTTCTCATTTCTAAAATGGAGATAATGATTTCTACCTTAGTGGGTGATTTGAAGGTTGAAGTTTAAATGAGGTCATATATAGAGTACCTGGTACATGACAAGCACTAGATAAATGGTGCCTCTGTTCGTTTGTCTTGACAGTCTGGAATGATGAGCCAAGTCTATGAAGGGAAAGTTTGATTGGAATAAATATAATCTTGAACTTGGTACTAAATACACAAAAATACAAGGTGCAGGACATGGAAGATGTGGCTTCTCAATAACACGTGGAAAAGACCTAGGGAGCCTCAGCTGACTGCCTGCTCAGTCTTAGTCAGCAGTATTATTTGGCATCCAGAAAAGGTTTTAAGGATAGCATCCAGATCCAGGAAAGGGACAGGTCTTCTCCACTCTGCTCTGGTCAGATTCTCCCTGAATTCTCTATTTCATTTTTTGGGCATGAGAATTTAAGAGAATCATAGATTAACCAGGGTCTGTCCAAAGAAACACCACCAGAGTGGTAAGAAGTTGTGAGCCATGCCATATGACAAGAGAAGGTGAATTGAGAAGATTTAGCTGGGGTATATATTAGAAGGTGGAGGTGGGGGAGGGAAGATTGGAGTGATAAAATAAGTATCCATTTCTAAACAGTTATCGTGTTAGACTTGTGCTTTGTGACCCTAGGGGGTAAAACAATGACCAGGGATGGCAGTTGTCTGGAGGAGATTTCAGTTTAATAAGCCTTTCTTTCAAAGGATTAAAGCTATATAAAAATTAAACTGTCTTCCTTGGTTTTTGGTGATCAAGCAAAGGCCAGATAAGTATATTGCTGGGATGCCATAGAAAAAATTCATTGTCACTTCTCATCAGAGATTGGACGAGAACAGATGATCTTCAAGATGCCTCCAACCTTGATAGTTTTGTGATTTCATACACAAGCAAAGTATGGGTTATTTTATTTTTTATTGAGGTTATAATAGTTTATAATATTGTGAAATTTCAGTTGTGCGTTATTTGTCCGTCACCATATATATGTGCCCCTTTACCCCTTATGCCCACCCCCTAACCCCTCTTCCCTCTGGTAACCACTAATCTGTTCTCTTGTCCTTGTGTTTGTTTATCTTCCACATACAAGTAAAATCAGTGTTTGTCTTTATCTGGCTTATTTCACTTAACGTAATACCCTCAAGATCCATGTGTGTTGTTGCAAATGGTACAATTTTGTCTTTTTTATGACTGAGTAGTATTCCATTGTATATATATATATACCATGTCTTCTTTACCCATTCATCAGTTGTTGGGCACTTGGGTTGTTTCCACATCTTGGCTGTTGTGACTAGTGCTGCAGTGAACATAGGGGTGCATAAGTCTCTTTGAATTGTTGATTTCAACTTCTTTGGATAAATACCCAGTAGAGGGATAGCTGGATCATACGACATTTCTATTTATAATTTTTTGAGAAATCTGCATAAAATATGGATTATTTTTAATGGAGTATATAAAGACAGTGATGATCAAACCGAGTCTTTGCCTCTGTGGAGCTTACATTTTAATTGGAGAAGCAATACACATTTCAGAAGTTTTAGAGAGTATTAGGATGAAGTCACAATAAGAGAATTCATAGGGCTGATTATGATTGATTGCTAAGTGAATGTTATAATTGAATGCTTTTCAACCTTTTATGTCTTATAAAGCACCAGTCACTGAAGAACCTGAGTGCCATGATCCCAGGGGGAGAAAAGCATGTTTATATATTTGTAGGTTATTATACTGATCATTTATAATAAATGTTAAGAGCTTAAAATTTTTAATAATTGCCAAAGCTTATTAAATAAACTTCCTTGTGGGCAGAAGATATGAAGTTTCAGGTGGTACATTGAGATTTCAAGGTTGGAACTAAAGTGACTGAAGATTGCAATAGGATATGGTTTTCTTTATAAAGTTTTTGCAGTTTTATTCCACAGCAGATATTATGTCCACCAGGGCTAGGACAAGAGCAAAACCAGGGTTTGGTAAAATTGAATCATCTGCTTAGAGACAAATGCATTTATTCATGATCAAACTGGTTCAGCATGTGTGGGATCAGGGAGTATATGGGAAATCTCTGTACCTTCCACTCAATTTTGCTATGACCTTAAAACTGCTCTAAAAATAAAATCTGTTAAAAAATGGTTCACATCTTTATGTATTTTAAATCAGTGGGGTCAAATTTAGTAGTTTAATTTATGAAACTCTGAACTCATGGCAATTTCCAGGTAAAGTGACCACGAGTAAATCAGAAAAACGATACTTACTACACATTCAGTTAGTCAGAACTCTTTATACCTTCAGCTGGATACTGTATGTGGTTTGTCAGTGGAGTTAGAAAGGGGAGGGGAATGTGAGGGTTATACCGGTAACATCAACACTTCGTTCGCCTGGACCCTAGAAAAGTAAAGCCCAAAGACCAAAAATTTTGCAGTGATCATCCCTCAGCAACCAACCTGTGTGGCAGATATAACTCTACATTGGGACAGACACCTCCTGCTAAAATAGCTTGATGATGCTTGATGACTCTGTAGCCATGAATGTCCTCCAACTCGCTCGCCAGAGTTGGATGTCCACTTGCTTGCCAGAGCAACTTCTGACTATCCTTTGGTTTCTGCTTTTGAGGTGCCTATTGGGAATGTCTGTACTTCTTATTGTATTGTAAATATTTATTAAATAATATTACATATCTGAAAATCTTTTTATGTTATTCTCAAATACCAACTAGCAGTTTGAAAATCCTGTGTGTCTCTTTCCTCATCAATAAAATGTAGGGGGTAGATTAACTCATCTCTGAAGAGTTCCTTACTTCTAAAGTTTTATAGCTTTCAAAATTGATTCAGCCCTAAACAAAGTATTGAAATTATTTTGCCTGGATGTAGTTGTAAGTATTTAATGACATGGTACAATGTTCATTCTACATTGTCAAAATTAAAAAATAGAAAAGGTTTAAAAATAGATGTGTATAGTTTGATCCTGTGTGTGTATACTCTATAAATATTTGTGCATGTGTGTGTAAATAAGTATACACACATATTTATAAATTAGAAATGGTACTGTGTTGATTATTGATTGGTTATTATTGATTATTTCTGAGTAGTAAGATTACAGATGATTTTGTTTTCCTCTTCTTTCTCTGCCTGAATTTCTATTTACCAGTTGAGTTAATTTTATATTAGGAAATAGCATATAAATGTGAAAAAACAAAATGTCTTTATTTTATAAATTGTTTTAATTCAGCACTCTATGAAACCTAACACACTGAAGGAAGATCCAACAAGGGACCTGAAACAGCTTCTCCAAGAGTTGAGAAGTGTGATCAACGAGGAGCCAGCTGTGCCTCTGAGCAAGACCGAGGAAGATGGGAGAACACCATCTCTGGGGGTCTCATATGTGGCTGTGTAAGACTGAGTGTACTTCAGAATGGGAAAGCGTCTCCCATCAGTGGTTTGCCATTAAGTTGTCTGCATGTTACTCTCTGGGAGGTTGAGGTTTAAATTACTTTGAAGAGTGTCTGATGTTATCAAGCAAAACAGTGTGAAAGTGGAGGAGTTAAACAAAAGCAAAACAACTTGACATCAAGAGAAAATAATACAGTTATTTTATGCAGAAATTAGGGCAAAACATTACCCAAAGTTACATACATATAGTAATTTATAATTTCACATCCATAATCATGTTTATCATAACAATTATTTGAGATAATCCAGGGCAGGATTTACTTATCCCATTTTACAAATGAGAAAAACACAAGTTTCAAAAGATTAGCTTGGCTACAGCCAACACAGTTTGATGTTAGAGCTGAAACTAGAACCCTGAGAACTGCTACTCAACTCTCCAAGTGTAAGCTGATAAGAAAGGCCTTGGTTCTCTAGGTGTTCATGCCACTGACTTATACCACATTAATAAAAGGCAGATCCAAAAAGGACTCAGCCAGTTTGCCAGAGCTTCCCTGTACATGCCTACAGAAATCAGTGAGAGTCTCTCATTCTTTTCAAATAATTTAAAATTTTATTGTGTTATTATTAGATTAACTTAAAGCATTTTAATATGTTTTATTTTTAGTATTATAAGGCTAATTGTATATTAGTTGTTAGTATTATAACCACCCATTGTTGTAATATTCATTTTCTGGTTATATGGCAAATATCTAAAAATAATAATTTCTGAAATAGTACTTACATATAAACAATCTCCAGTTTCTTAAGATGCTCAATTAGTATACATTAGCCCAAGGTAGCAAAATAATATCTGGATTTATCTAATTTTTATTAATAATATTATTAATAGTAATTGTAAAATATTAGTAACTGCCCAGTTACCTGGAATAACATTGTCACCTCTGAATCACATCAGAGACATTTCATTGGCCACTCCATCAAAAAATACATATATGTGCAGAGCACTTTCATTTTTGTCATACTTCTGTAATATGCCTTCTAAGCCAGGGCAGTATTATTAAGTATTATCACTTGACGGATGAGTATATTTAGGCACAGATTAAGTTGCCGCATCCTATGCAGCAAAGAGGCAAAGCCAGAAGTAAAGTTAGAGCCCCTGGCTCCCAGCACTAATCCTTCTACAAGATCACCATGACTTCCCTGATGAGATTTTCATCACTTCTGCCACTAATGATGGGCCTGAACTATTATTGGACTGTACTGAACAAGAAGATATTTGGTCCTTGCCTTTAGAGGGCTTATGTTAAGTTGCTGTCATCCTACAAGTGACCTTGTCATCAAAGCCAAACTCAGCCTAAAGCTTTTAAGAGTTCATAGAACGAGAGCATTTCTGAGTTGATGAACTCCAGGGGTAGCCCTTTACAAAATTTGCTTGGAAGCCTAAAATCTACTGTTGTGCCATAAAGAAGAGTTAAATACATATGAATACTTGATTATCCTAAAAATACATGGAGTCTGGAAATCGTTCTTTGTGTAATTAACTGAGACTTATGTTTATCTACACAGAGATGATAGAGTAAGAGATTCCGTTACTGAATCAAGCCTGAGATTAGAGATGTGCCATAGGTAAGAAGAATCTGAGATTCTGATTCTGATTAATTGTCCAAGAATTTTATATGTGACCAGGTATTTGGGAAGTCTGTTTAGACAGACTGAAGGGGCATTTTGGGTTCACTGAGGGAAAGCTGTTACATTGTTCAACTGAAACTGAAGAGGATCTCAATGAAATTTACTAAAGTAGTTTACTTTCTAGAAATCAATTTAATAGGCATTTTTTTGGTACTTATTTTAAGTTTTGCTGCTGTTTACCTGTATGATGATATTTGTATGGTATGCCATACCAAAAAATGGAAGACTTTTTCTACATTTACACATATTTACAGTGGATTACGTAACTTTTGAGAGAAAGGTGATCTGGAAAGAAATTATAACCACCTGCATGTAGGATTATGAGAAACTCCCTGAAAACAATCCTATTTTCATCAATAGTTGAATAGCTGGATTTTTAAATGAAACCATAAAAAGAGCAAAGAAATGAAATCCATAACCCCTAAACAAAGACAACTTCTGAGAACTGACTTCGACCAAAAAAGAAAAAAGGCTAGTATTAATTTGTTATTCATTAAGAGGCAGAGGCCACTGTTGCACATCTTCAGTGGCTCCTTGCTACCTGCTGCGTTTAAGTACATGGTCTCTCAGTCTGACACTGAAGACTCTCCCTGACTGGTCACCAGCCTGCTTTACTCCTATATTATGTTCTAGTCAAAACAGACTACTCCTGATTTCCAAAAGGAGTTCGTTTGTTTTTTCCTCCAAGCTCTTTTCCATTCTGTTTCCTCTACCTGGAAGAGCCTGTGCCCCATCTCACTCTTTTGAATCTGTGTTTGTCTAGAAGCAATTTTCAGAGGAACAATTTTGTTTTATCATCAAGTTTAAATAACGTTGCATAGTCTTTAATTTCTCCCATCCTTCTACCAACAGAAGCAACTCATTAAGGGACTCCACTGAAGGCAGCAAATCAAGTGAAACACTTAGCAGGTAAGAAATTATCTTACTTATGTCCGACTTTCCAAATGTCCCCTTCTCCACTGTTCATTCATTAATTCAGATCATTAACTTCCCAACATCTGCCAGGCTCTGTGCTTGGCCCTTAGAATCTAACAGTGAGCAAGACAGACATGGGCCCTGTCCTCAAGTTGGTTACAGTCATTAGGCCTGTATATTGACTGACTGCCTGGAAAGAAACTTCCTTTTATCTTTTCTATTTTCACTAGTTACAAAAAATGGAGATATCAGAGTCCTTTTATATCATAAGAATATGAAAATGAATTCTACTGTTTAAATTCCAGTTAGGCAGAAGCTTATTTGTTGCTATATCTTTAGCACCAAGCATATTGCCTGCCACGTAGTAGCCATTCAGTAAATAATTTGTTTAGTGAATGAATTAAGACAGTATTATAAATATTTTCTTCCTATCCCTGCTACTTGATCAATAAACAGTGAACTTGAATCTTTCTAAATATATCTTTCTCTTAGCCTCAAAGAAATGAGTTTTGATTTTCTTCTTACCTGGGTGTGTGACTGTTAATATCTTCAGCTTTCTACTGCATATTTTTATTTTTACTATTTCTGGGTGTTTTAGATCTCATTTGGTCTATCTAATCTAATCCGTGAATGTAGGCATTATTATTCCCATATATACGTTAGAAATGAAGACTCAGATTGCTTAAGCAACTTGCCAAGGTCACATAGCTTGTCAACAGTGGAGTCAGATTTAAGCTCAGGTCTGGCTGGCTCCTGAGCTCAGGCCTGTGACTACTCCTGTGTTCTGCCTCTGGGTCCCTGGACTGAGCTACCTGAGAAAGAGCCCAGTCCCAGGCATGGGGCACAGAGGGGCTGCTTCCTTGAGAGAAGGAAGGCTCTGTGGTGGTTTTTCCATCACTAGAAAAATCCGCTTCCTTCAGCAGTGATGTGTTTGTGAAGAAGAGAGAATGGTGAGGAAAAGATGGGACCTAGCCCCTTCCTGTGTTCAAATGAGAAGAAGAGATTTTTAAATATTTAATGGAAGCTCTGAAAAGTATGAAACATAATAGAAAATTAAAAATGCATCTGAATGCTCTGTACTATGGCAAATTGGCCATTTTTAAACTAATGCTTAAGTGAATGAGAAAAAATACCACCATTGCTGTTTTACTACATTTCACTGTAACTGCAGCATCTTTAACCATCTTACAGTAATGTTTCCTAATCTAGAAACTTCTACAGCCATGTAAGCTAAATCAATATAGTCCATACCAAGAACAAAATAAAAAAGAAAAGAAATTAAGTAACTCTGGTATGTGAATTTATGCTTGAATTATTCTAAGAGCCACATCTCTCAGAAGTTTTGTCAAGAATTTCCTTTTCTTTTTCTGTTATGTTATAACTTAATGAGAAACATTCTGAAGGTTTTCAATAAAGACTTCAAAATATCTAACTACCTTTTACACATCTCCAAATGGATGTTACAGGAGATGAAACAGGATGACCTGAAGATCATAATGACCAAAACTAAACAAAGATGGTCTTTCCACAGAGTCATTCCACTCCATCTCGTTCTTCTGTTTCTGTAAATGGCACCCCCACTTTCCTAGGGCATCTGTGTTTAAATCTTAACATTATCTTTGATTCTTCTTTCTCCCTGGTCTTGTTTCTCTAGTCACCAAATGTTATTAATTCTGACTCTATAATAGTTCTCAAATCCGTTTTCTTCTTTGCACATCCCCTTGGACTACCCATATTAATTCTTGTGGCTGCTATAACAAAATTAGTGGCTTAAATCAACACAAATTTATCTTTCTTACAGTTCTGGAGGCCTGGAGTCCTAAGTCAGTTTCACTGGGCTAAAGTCAAGATATTAGTAGGGCCACACTCTTTCCAGAAACTCTTGGAATTAATCCATTTCCTTACCTTTTTCCAGCTTCTAGAACTTTATTCCTTGCACTCTGTTTTGTGGGCTCCTTCCTCCATTTTCACAGTCCATAACACCTTCAAATTTCTCTCTGCTGAGATTGTCACATCAGTCTTCTTTCTTCTGTGTGAGATCTCCTCCTGCCTCCCTCTTATAAAAACACTTGTGATGGTATTTAGGGCCCATTCAGATAATCCATGATAATCTTCCTATCTCAAAATCCTTGATTTAATCACATCTATAAGGTCTCCATTGCCATGTAAGGTAACATTCATAGGTTCTTGGAATTCCCACGTGGATATAGTTGGTGGCCATTATTCAGCCTGTCACACTGCTTTAGGCCTTTATACCTTTCTTACAAACCATTATAGTGGCCTCCACAGCGGTTAGTGTAGATGTCTTTAAATCTCCTATCTCTGGCATGGTCTAGTCACTTCTGTGCATCAATTTCAAATTGATCTGGCTTAAGTACACCTCAGCCTATGTCTGTTCCCCGAAACCTTCAAAAGCTCCCCGTTACCTACTACAGCAAGGTCGAACTCTTTGCCCTGATAATTAAGACTATCCACAGTACAGCCATGACCTTCCTTTCCAGGGCTTTTCCTCCTAATACAGTTATTCTCAAACTTTTGTCTCAGGACCTCTTTGCACTCACAAATATCATAGAGGATTCCAAAGAGCTTTTGTTTATATGGGTCATTTCTACTGCTATTTTAAGTATCGGAAAATAAATTTTAATTTTAAGCATTTTTAGAATTTAAAACAGTTTGATGCTTATTCATTTAAAAATAATGTTACATTACATGTTATCATACTAACACTTTATTATGAAAAATAACTTTTTTAAAATAAAAATATCATTGAGAAAGTATTGTTTTACAATTTAATGCATGGCTTAATACAAGATAGCTGGCTTCTCATATATGCGTCTCCATTTAATCTGTTGTGATATCAGATATCATAGAGTCTCTGGGAAATTCCACTGTACTTGTGAGAAACTGAGAGTTAAAAAGCAAATAATATCTTAGTATTGTAATAAAAATAGTGATGACCTCACAAGCCCACTGGAAAGGAACCTCCTTAAGAACTACTGCCATAATATTCTCGTACTGGTACCCAACCCACAAAGAAGTATGTGGTTTATTTCAACTTACTGATTTAAATAAGTCTGATCATTTTGTAAAGTGATACTACAATTGCTAGGAGAGGTTTCCTTTTTTTTGTCTTTGGTTTTTTCATTTTTAAATATGTCATTAAGATTGTATCTTTTAGAATCTGTGACAGAAATATTTGGGTTTTATAGCTGTTATTATACAAAAATGAATTTCTAACCAAGATTATATATTATTCCTTTTTCATTCTGCAAAATGTTCATGGGCACAGAATGGATAAAGATGGTGCAACTTTGGATCTTTCTCATAGGGTATTTCAGGACGTCTGCAGTTTAGGGTTATGACTATCATCTTCGTTTATATTTTAAGCCATCACTTGCTTGCTTGTGTCCATAAATCTTAGTGCCATGTTTGTGAAACAGAATGTTTGCATGACCATTCTTATGCTTCCAGAGAGCCAGTCACACTGCACACAGGAGACCTGGAAGACCCATCTAGTTGCTTCACATTCACATCTACAGGTGAGTTTCCAATGAAACCATAGAAATGGGGCCTGCTTAAAACCCTGCAGTGGCTCCCCATTTCCTTGAAAGTAAAAGCCAAAGTCATCACAGTAGCCCAGAAGTCCTCATTATCTCCCTGGTCTCATTTTCTACTACTTGCCCTTCATTCACTCTGCTTTATCCACCCTTGGGTTGTTCCTTGAGCATGCCAGGCAGCCTCTATACTAGGGCTTTTACACTCACTGTTCCCTCCACCTTGCTAGCCCCTTGCTCCTTCACAGCCTTTGCTCAGGTGTCACTTTCCCCAGTGACACTTACTCTCACCACCTTATGTAAAAGTTGTAACCCTCTCACACTCCCACTTATCTTTTCTTTTTTAAATTACACTTAGCATCTTTCAATATACTGTGTGACTGACTTATTTTTGTTGTTCATTGTGTGTCACCTCCTGCTGAATGGATGAAAAGAAAAGGGGAAGAATTGAGACAGATGGTTCTCCACATAATTTCCAAAGACTGATAGACAGAATGCTCTCTATAAAACAAGGAGGTCAAGAAGGAGATTGAAAGAGAACAGAATCTGTTGAGCAGCAAAATGACATAACTCAGACCAGAAATGGAAGAGGAAAATAAAAACATTACAGGGAAAAACCTTACAAAAACAAAAAATAGTATAGGCATGACTGAAATCATAATCAGGGACATGGTGGGCTCCCCCCCACCCCGCCCAAGAAAATTACACAAAAAGAATTGTTTATTGTAGAGAATGTGTTAAATAATTGTAGAGAATATGTTAGATTTGGAAGGCAAAGGCAAACCAACAGACGCATAATTGGTCTTGCTATGGAGGAGAACAGAATAAATGGGAAAGAATGAAACTGAAAATGATGGCTCTTCAACACAAGTTTAGCTATAATCTGGATGGTAATAATGTAAATAGGGAAAATTGAGGTGTGCGGTAAAGGAAATAGGAGAAAAATAAGTTTCTAAATTTTCTTGTCTTTTGTAGAGGAGTGTCAGTTGTATTTCTAAAATTAAAACATAATATTCTTGGGGCCAGCCCAGTGGCACAGCAGTTGAGTTCGCATGTTCTACTTCGGTGGCCCGGGGTTTGCCAGTTTGGATCCCAGTTGTGGACCTATGCACCACTTGGCAAGCCATGCTGTGGTAGGCGTCCCACATATAAAGTAGAGGAAGATGGGCATGGATGTTAGCTCAGGGCCAGTCTTCCTCAGCAAAAAGAAGAGGATTGGTGGCAGATGTTAGCTCAGGGCTAATCTTCCTCAAAAAAATAAATAAATAATTTTTTTTAAAAAACCATAGTATTCTTAAATAAAATAATACAAATCCTTAATTTTTAAATAATCTTTAACTTGTGAGAAATCTTTTAAGAACTAATATTTTTAAGAAAAGGGTATTTATTTGAAGTTAACTCCTTCAGATTTACTTCACTCACATGTTTTTACTGTGGTTTTAATGATTACTCAAGAGAATACATTTATCTTTGCTGAGTGCTTTTACCTTTTCTTATACATTGTGAGTACTTTAGAACATGGTAATTCCATTCACTATCCTTCTAGCTTACATACATTGTTGTCACATATTTTAATTATAAATGTAAATACCACAATGGATTGTTTGCATTGTTTGGTAGATATACCCACATAGTTACAATTTACCTTCTATCTGGTATCATTTTACTTATGCCTTTAATGTTTCCTTTAATGTAAGTCCTGCTGGTGACATATTCTCTCAGTTTCTGTTTTTCTGAAGTTATCTTTGTTTCATCCTCAGTTTTGAAGATTACTTTTGCCAAGTATAGAATCTTAGGTTGACATTTTTCCTTCACTTTGAAATTATTCCATTCTTTTCTGGCGTGCATTGTTTCTACTAAGAAGTCAGCTGTAGGTTTAACTCTTGCTCATTTAAATGTAATCTGTCTTTTTTGCCCTTCTGGTGGCTTTAGGATCATTTTTTATCTTTGGTTTGGTGTTTTTTATGTTTTGTTTTAGCAATTTTTATTGATAGGTCCAGGTATAATTTTCTTTATATAAGAAGAACCTGTTTTGGATTTACAGTAATTCTCCTTGAATCTGTGGTAGTCTTGCCTCCATTATCCAGACCTTGTGGGACTACATCTGTTATCTGTAGTTTTTTCTCTTGGTTTTTTGCCATGTCATTTTGCCTCCTCATATGCCTGATTTTTATTTTATGACAGACACATATAAAAAATTGTACAGATGGTTTGAGGCTTAGAATGAGGTTACCTTCCTCCAGAGAGCACTCATGCTTGCTTCTGGTAGACATCTAAGGGCACCAGCAATCCCAGAGCAAGTGAATCCAATAAGGAATTAAGAGGATCTGAAGCTAGACCTTAGGATCCCCAATGGCAGGTCTTGTTCCTTTTCATCCTTATTTCTAAGACATGGCCCTTTTCAGTTCCAACTCAGAGCCTTGGGTATTTACCAAAACATCCCCTCCCCCATCATTGGGAACATTTTCTCACAAAAGTTGGACTTTTTAAGAGGTGCAGTGTACTATTTTTAATTAATCCTGTCCTTTTAATTTTATTCTTGCAAAATTTTAGCAAGTCCATCTGTGAAAAATTCAGCTTCTCGTTCATTCCATTCTTCTCCTAAGAAGTCTCCAGTTCATTCACTCCTAACTAGTTCAGTTGAAGATTCAGTAGGTTCCACATCACAATATCGATCCAGCAAAGCTGTTCGTTCTTCTGATTCTGTTAAAGGTAAGAATGATGTGATATCACTGATGAGATTAATTGATTTCGTACTCTGGTGAATTCAAAGTTCCTTTCCATTATCAGAATTAATAAGATTTTACATGGTGTTCTTATACACAAGATCTAACTGATGCTATGTAATTAAAGTGGGTCTTATTTAAATAGAATAGCTATTGTATACACACACACACAAACACACCCCTTAGTAGATATACATATTCTATATTAATATTTTCTTTCTTTCTTTCTTTGACATGAGTAGTGAACTTTTTTTCACTATTATAAGATTTTGGGTCTTCTTTTAAATGCTGTGAGTGACTTTTCTTTCTTATTTACATGCTCTAAAATCATGGCTCCCTTCAGTCTCTGCCTTTGTAAGTGTAAGTATCTATCATACAAACTTGTTGAAATGTTCTCATTTTTTAAATTTTAAGTTCATTTGTTATTGTATAAGACAGATGGGGAAAATGATTTGATTTAGAATAAGTGCCTGATAAACAAGTGGACGTTAAATACATATATGTTGAATTGAACTTGAAATGTTTTTCATCATATATGACAGTGACTCTAACGGCTCCTGTGCTCTGACATCATTCTGTCTGATAAGGAATAAACTAGGCAAATTGGTTACATCATTGTTAAGTCAATTCTTAGTCTTTTGAAATTCAATGCCTAACACATTTCTATATCCTAAAAAAATATGAAAATGAGAGTGACATCAGCATCATGGCAGGGTGAGCTCTTCCCTTAGACTCTCCCCCTAAGGTACAACAAAAAGGACGTTCATAAACCAACAGAGGATATTCACACAACACAAGAAACGTCTAAGAGACGCATTTAGCCATATGTCTGAAGGTGGAGGTACTGGACCCCAGAGGAAGTGGAAGGAGTGGTGGCAGGTGGAAGCTGCGACCAGATAGTATCACTATGCAGAGGCACAGTCCGTACCATCAAACAGCATGAAGAAGTATATCAACACTCCAGACTAGAAGGAAAATGACAAGCACCTAGAAATCCATCCTGAAGGCACAGAAATTTATAATCTAAATGACAGAGAATTCAAAATAGCTATCATAAAAAAAACCTCAATGAGTTACAAGAAAATACAGATAGTTCAATGAAATCAGAAACAGAATTAATGAATAGAGGGAATTCTTCACAAAGGAGATTGAAACTATAAAGAAAAACCAGTCAGAAATGTTGGAGATGAAAAACACAATGGATGATATAAAGAAAAATCTGGATTCCCTGAATAACTGAGCTGATATTAGGAAGAAGAGAATTAGCAGTCTGGAAGATAGAAATATAGAAATACTTCAGATGGAGGAGGAGAAAGAACCAAGACCAAAAAGAAATGAAAAAATTTTCCAAGAAACATGTGACTCAATTGGGAAATGCAACATAAGGATTATAAGTATTCCAGAGGGAGAAGAGAAGGAGAATGGAGCAGAAAGCTTTTTCAAATAAATAATAGCTAAGAACTTCCCAAACCTATGGAAGGAGCTGGAGATACAAGTGAAAGAAGCTAATATAACACCTAACTATCAATGTAAAAAGACCTTCTTCAAGGCATATAGTAGTAAAGCTGGCAAGAGTCAATGACAAAGAAAAAATATTAAGGGCAGCAAGGCAGAAGAAAATAACTTACAAAGGAACCCCTATCAGGCTTTCAACAGATTTCTCAGCAGAACCCTTATACGATAGGAGAGAGTGGGATGATTTATTCAAAGTTCTGAAAGACAAAAACTGTCAGCCAAGAATACTCTATCCAGCAAAAATATCCTTCAGATATGATGGAGAAATAAAGACGTTTCCCAGAGAAAGAAAAGCTAAGGGATTCATTGCCACAAGATCTCCCTACAAGAAATTCTCGAGAAGAATTTCTGAAAAAAAATGAAAGGAGTTACAAAGCCTTGAGCAAGGAGATAAAGAGGTAGACAAAATCAGAAAATTGCAGCTATGGGAACAGGTGAGCGAACACTGAATTATTACATTAAATATAAAGGGAAGGAAAACATCAACAATAAATATAATCTTGTCATTTTAACCACAAACAACATAAGATGCAATAAGTTGTTACAATAATAACTTAGAAGGGGAAGAGGGAAGGGATGGAATCAGCTTAGTCTGAATAAATAAGAGGCTATCAGAAAATGGAATGGCTATGAGATTTTTTATACGAACCTCATGGTAACCACTAAACAAATAATCAGAAGAGAGACACAAATGATAAATAAAGAGAAAACTGAGAAAACCATCATAGAGAACTAACTGAATTGGTAGTCCAAAATACATGGGATGAGAAACAAGGGAAATGCAGAAGAACTGGAAAATGAGTGATAAAATGGCAGCATTAAGCCCTAATATATCAGTAATCATTCTAAATTTATATGGATTGAATTCTCCAGTTAAAAGACAGAGTGGTGAGATGTATTAAAAAACAATTCCCAACAATATGGTGCCCCCAGGAAACATAGTTCTAAAGACAAACACAGTCTCTGATTGAAGGGATGGGAGAAAAATACTTGAAGCTAATGGCAAACAAAAGAAAGGAGGTGTTGATGTACTTATGTCAGACAAAGTAGACTTCAAGATAAAACAGGTGATGAGAGACAAAGAGGGGCAGTATATAGTGATAAAAGGATACTCCACCAAGAAGATATAACACTTATAAATATCTATGCACCCAACACAGGAGCACCAAGGTACCTAAAACAACTATTAACAAACCTAAAAGGAGATATTGACAATGACACGATAATAGTAGGGGGTCTTAACACCCTACTTACATCAGTGAATAGATCTTCCAGACAGAAAGTCAACAAGGAAATGGTGGATTTAAGGAAAAAACTAGACCAGATGGACTTAATAGATATATATAGAACATTCCATCCAAAAACAGCAGAATGCACATTACACATTCTTCTCAAGTGAACATGGAATATTCTCAAGGATAGACCATGTATTGGGAAACAAGGCAAACTTCTATAAATTTAAGAAGATTAAAATCATATCTAGCTTCTTTTCCAAACATAATGCTATGAACAAGAAATCAACTCAAGAAAAAATCTGGAAAAGTGACAGATATGTGGAAACTAATCAACATGCTACTGAACAATCAATAGATTATTGAAGAATTTAAAGAAGAAATCAAAAAATATCTGGAGACAAATGAAAGTGAAAGTACACCATACCAACTCATATGAGATACAGCAAAAGTGGTCCTAAGAGGGAAATTCATAGCAGTAGAGGCCCAACTTAAAGAAAAATCTCAAATAAGCAATCTCAAACTATACCTAATTGAATTAGAAAAAGAACAAACAAAGCCCAAAGTCAGCAGAAGGAGAGAAATAATAAAAATTAGAGCAGAAATAAATGAAATTGAATAAAAGGAAAAAGCAGTAGAGAGGATCAGTGAATCAAAGAGCTGGTTCTTTGAGAAGATAAACAAAATTGGCAAACCCTTAGCCAAACTCACAAAGAGAGAAGGCTCAAATAAATAAAATTAGAAATGAAAGAGGAGAAATTACAGTGGATACCACAGAAATACAAAGGACTATAAGAGAACACTATGAAAAACTATATACCAACAAATTGGACAATCTAGAAAAAATGGATAAATTCTTAGACACATACCACCTGCCAAAACAGAATCAAGAAAAAATGGAGAATCTGAATAGACCAATCACAAGTAAAGAGATTGAAACAGTAATTTAAAGCCTCCCAAAAATAAAAGTCCAGGACCAGATGGCTTCTCTGGTGAAGTCCAGCAAACATTCAAACAAGATTGATTACCTGTCCTTCTCAAACTATTCCAAAAAATTGAGGAACACAGAAAACTTCCTAACACATTCTATGAGGCCAGTATCACCCTGACACCAAAGCCCAGTAAGAACAACACAAAGAAGGAAAATTACAGGCCAGTATCACTGATGAATATAGATGTAAAAATCTTCAACAAAATACTGGCAAACCGAATACAGCAATACATTAAAAAGATCATGCACCATGATCAAGTGTGATCTATACCAGGGACAGAGGGATGGTTCAACATCCACAAAGCAATCAATGTGATATACCGCATTAACAAAATGAGGAATAAAAACCACATGATCATCTCAATAGACACAGAGAAAGCATTTGACAAGGTCTAACATCCATTTATGATAAAAAAAAAAAAAACTCTCAATAAAATGGGTATAGAAGGAAAGTACCTCAACATAACAAAGGCCATATATGACCAACCCACTGCCAACATCATACTCAGTGGAGAATAGCTGAAAGCCATCTCTCTGAGAAAGGAACAAGACCAGGGTGCCCACTCTTGCCACCCTTATTCAACATAGTACTGGTGGTTTGGGCCAGAGCAATTAGGCAAGAAAAAGAAATAAAAGGAATCCAAATTGGAAAGGAAGAAATGAAACTCTTGCTGTTTGCAGATAACATGATTTTATATATAGAAAACCCTAAACAAACCATTGAAAAACTATTAGAAATAATCAACAGCTACAACAAAGTTGCAGGGTACAAAATCAACTTACAAAAATCAGTGGGATTTCTATACTCTAATAACTAACTAATAGAGAATTCAAGAATACAATCACAACAAAAAGAATAAAATATCTAGGAATAAATTTAGCCAAGGAGGTGAAAGACCTATACAAAGAAAACTATAAGACATTATTGAAAGAAATCGATGATGACAAAGAAATAGAAAGATATTCCATGCACATGGATTGGAAGAATAAAAATAGTTAAAATGTCCATACTCCCTAAAGCAATCTGCAGATTCAGTGCAATCCCAATCAGAATTCCAGTGACATTCTTCATGGAAATAGAAGAATTCAAAACTTCGTCTGAGGCAGCGAAAGACCCCAGCTAGCTAAAGCAATCCTGAGAAAAAAGAACAAAGCTGGAGGCATCAAATCCCTGACTTCAAAATATACTACAAAGCTACAGTAATCAAAACAGCATGGTACTGGTACAAAAACAGACACACAGGTCAATGGAACAGAATTGAAAGCCCAGAAATAAAACCACACATCTGTGGACAGCTAATCCTTGACAAAGGAGCTAAGAACATACAATGGAGAAAGAAAAAAGTGTCTTCAGTAATTGGTATTGGGAAAACTGGACAGCTACATGCAAAAGAATGAAAGTAGACCATTATGTTTCACCATACAGAAAAATTAACTCAAAACGGATCAAAGACTTGAAGGTAAGACCTGAAGCCATAAAACTCCTGGGAGAAAATATAGGCAGTACACTCTTTGACATCAGTCTTAGAAGGATCTTTTTGAATACCATGTCTACTCGGGCAAGGGAAACAAAAGAAAAAATAAACAAGTGGGACATCATCAGACTAAAGAGCTTCTGCAAGGCAAAGGAAACCGGGAAGAAAACAAATAGACAACCCACTAACTGGGAGAAAATATTTGCAAATCGTAAATATCTGACAAGGGGTTAGTCTCCAAAATATATAAAGAACTTGCACAACTGAACAAAAAAAAAAACCAAACAGCCTGATCAAAAAATGGGCAGAGGATATGAACAGACATTTTTCCAAAGAAGATATACAGATAGCCAATAGGCACATGAAAAGATGTTCAGCATTACTAATCATCAGGGAAATGGAAATCAAAACAACACTAAGATATCACCTTACACCATTAGAATGGCTGTAATCCCCAAGACAAAAAATAACAAATGTTGGAGAGGATGTGGACAAAAGGGAACCCTCATACACTGCTGGTGGGAATGCAAACTGGTGCAGCCACTATGGAAAACAGTGTGGAGATTTCTCAAAAAATTAAAAGTAGAAATACCATACAACCCAGCTATCCCACTACTGGGCATCTATCCAAAGAACTTGAAATCAGCAATTCGAAGACTTATGCACCCTTATGTTCACTGCCAGTATTATTCACAATAGCCAAGATGTGGAAGCAACCTAGGTGCCTAGTGACTGATGATTGGATAAAGAAGATGTGGTATACATACATACATATATATATATATGGAATACTACTCAGCCATAAAAAAGACAAAATCGTCCCTTTCACAACAATATGGATGGACCTTGAGGATATTATGTTAAGGGAAATAAGCCAGACAGAGAAAGACAAACACCACATGATTTCACTCGTATGTGGAAGAAAAACAAACACGTGGACAAAGAGGACAGATTAGTGGTCACCAGAGGGGAAGGGGTTTGGAAGGTGGGCATAAGGGGTAAAGGGACACATATATATGGTGACTGACAAATAATAATGTACAACTGAAATTTCAAAAGAATACCAACTTTTATGACCTCGATAAAATAAAAACATTTTTAAAAACTAAGAAGAAAAAATATGAAAATCAGAACCTAATTACAGATTTTAGTACATTTTCTTCTTTATCATGTTTCTTCTGAATTTGTTTCCTCCTTTCTCTCTTATGTTTCTAAGTTATTCTTTAGTAGTTTTAAAAATTTAGAGTAACAAATTATTTAACTATTACAGAAGTGTTTGTTAGAGGAGTAGAACAATGCTGCTGGTCACCTCGTTATTAATTTGTGGTTACGTAATAGCGTGGCGTTTTCTTTTTTTTCCCTGTTGTCAATACTCATATCACATATTTTATATTATCTATGTTAAAAATCTCTCTCTGAGAAACTGTTTTTCATCCTCTTGAATTAAAATAATTCCTAGATGATTGCCTTTAATACTAATATCTGTAATGAAAAGGGTATTTTTGATAGGAAAATGAGCCATGAGATTAAACAGGAAGTCAGAGACTAAGATCAAAATTAAACTCTTGAGATTGCCAATGAAGTGTTTTTTAGAGGTTGACAAAACTTAGCCTGCTTATTAGAGAGTAGCGTACATGCTTCTAGCCCGTCTGCAGTTGCTACTGTCACATTTATTCTCGGTTCATGTGGCCATGTCAGCCTTCATACTACCCTCTCCCATCATACAATGCCACCTTCATTCAGGTGACAGCAACTAAAATGGATGCTTGGCCTCTCACACATTCAAAAATGTTGCCAGTGTCACTATTAAATCTTGCTCTTTCAAACCCAAAGTTAATGGAACTAAGTGTTCCTCTCATTCATCCCATTTAATGCTGTGCAGTTGATTAATAGTAAATCAGATTGGTTTGAAACAAAATCAAATAAGCTAGTAGTGCAATATTTGGATGACACCTCTTTTTTTAAAAAGTGTTTTAAAGTTTCCATTATTTTAAAGGAAATGTTGTTTAACCTATAATTGGAAGATTTCTAAAAAGAAATATTGAATAGACTTTTAATATCACATCTAAGCAATTTTCTAATAGCTTCAGAGTCTCAGCCAGTAGAAACAACAGGAAAAACATGCAGGAAGCTTCAGAACAGACTGGAAAGCTTGCAAACTCTGGTAGAAGATTTACAGATGAAGAATCAAGGTACAGTGTACATTTTTGGAGAGAGCTTCTTTGCTCAAAAGAATATTCACCTTCCCTTCAGGTTAAGCCTCCTATCTTAGAGCCGCTGAAAAGGGTACTGAATGAACGGTTCAGACACCTTAGTCAAAATATGAGGCTCTTCATTAATCATGACTAACCCTTGGATTAATTGTGTGACCTTGGGCGGGTCACTGTAGACCTGCTGTAGTCTTTCATCTAATAGGAACGATACTGCTGACCAAACCTCAGTGGGACACATATTTTGAGTGGTTTTTCACATGAGACTTTCCTAAACACTATCTTTGTCGTTTCTCTTAGGTCGGTAGACAAGCATTTTTATGACGGTAGCCAGAATAAGACTGCAGTTAATAGCCGGGAAACAAAATTACAATATTTGGCCTTACACAGCATTTTAATTAGCATGGATTATGAGAGACTGTGCCACCCAATGAATCGCTAAATAAAAACATATACTACTTAGAAATATATAAAATCTATTTGAATGAGAAACTATTGTACTCTGCAGATGATAGGCAAGTTTTTGAGCATCAATTCTCCATGGCTGTTCCCATGGATATGGGAGGATATGGATATGTTCCCATGGATTTGGGAGGGCTATCACTTTTTATGCTTTTCTGATATAAATTCATGAACCTAGGAACCTTTGTCACAGAGAAATTAATTTTGGAGTATACATGTTATTCTTACTCCATCTTTCTCTCTCTAGAGAATATAAGTTGCTAGATGAAGGGTAATAAATATTCTTCTAAGAACAAATCCTTGTAAAATACATTTAACCTTATTAATAATAATAATAGTTGCTGTTAGCATTTATTGAGCACTTACCAGCCATATGCCGGGCCCTGTACTCCGTGCTGTACTTAGGATTCTTCATGGGAACCTCATGATGACACTGGAAGGTGGATACTAATGTCATTGGAAAATGAGGAAACGGAAGATAAGATCATAGCCAATACGTTCTAAGTCATACGATGACTAACAGAGCTGGAACTGGATCTGTGCAATTTCTGATTACAGGATTCACATTTTTAATATACTAAGGCTATATCAGATAGTTATTAAAGAAAATTGCAAATCCTTTAGGTTAACCCAAGATCCCTGTATATGTAAACATCAAGAAAAACGTTTGATTTTAGTCCAAATAGACATGTTATATTTGTTTAAAAAATAAAAAGACCTTTTTATTGAATTCATTGTCTGGATAGAAAGTCTCTTGGAAATTTTGAAACACATTTTGGAGAGAACTTATCAAAATTTAAAGTGCACATATGCTGCGACCCAGAAATTCCACTTCAAGGAATTTATTCTACAGGAAATAATTGTACAAATGCACAAGTCCTTTTACAAAAGTATTTCCTATAGCAGTTTGTTTGTAAACGAAAATAAGAAAGCAACTTTTTAAGATTTCTTTCCTAACGTGTTGGTACATGCATATAATGGAATACTATGCAGTCATAATAAAACATCTTCACAGCTGAACTGGAAAGATGTTGGCATTCTGTTAAGTGTATAAAGCAAGCTACAGAACAGTTGGTACCTTATACCACACATTTCCATTTGTGTAAAAAAGAAAACTCCTGTGTGTGTGTGTGTACATGAAGATATTCACCAAACTGTTCCCAGTGATGACCTCGGGGGAGGGGTCAGCAGAGTAAGAGAACAAAGACTGACCATCTCTTTGTACCTTTCTGACGTATTCAAATTATTTACAGCTAGTATGTATTACTTCTAAAATAATAATCATCATGCTCACTTAAAACAAGTGAAAGAGTAAAGATTTACCTTAGGTCTGTTTCATAACATCAGTCTTTTAAAAAATTTGCTACTTTGCAATTTTTAAGAACTTCTTGAGCTCCGAATGTAGCTCTTCTCTAGCAGCAAGCTGACCTTTTAAGAAGCACATAATAGAATTTAAAGCCTGAGTAAATGTTGCTATTCTAACTTTATTTTATCACCATTTTCAGCGATGTCTTCAATGATCAGAAATCAAGAAAAGAGGATACAGAAAGTGAAAGACCAGGAAAAAATGTTACTAAAATGATGCATTGCTTGCCTATTGTTTACAGAGGGATGATGCCCAATTAATTGTGGTGTTACTTATAATTAGTGCCCTGTGTACCTTTTTCTTTAATGTGAAAATTTAATAAAAGATACCCTGTCCTGTTAACTCTATTTTGAAATAAATTATTCTTGAATGCTCTTGCAATAAAACTTCAAACAGTACTAGCTAGATGTGAAAGTATTCGTTCCTTATAAGATATAATTTGTGCTGATACCAATGTGTTGAAATAATTATGTTTTTTTAAATTATCTTTACTGGTGCTGAGGCAATAGTCATTTTCTTTTTCAGCTTAAAAAAACTTCTTTCACACGAAAGTGAAAGATGTGGTATACTGTCCAGAACAGAAGGACAAACTGCACCGTACTGACGGGTTCCTTTGGTGACCCTGAGCTCACTGCTTGTTCTGTCAATATAAGTGAATGTAATCAGATAACACTACACTGGGGCCCACAGTCAAGACTTCTGGAAAAGTTTCTCTTTTACATATTAATAACAAGAAAGAAAGAAAGAAAAAATTTGTTATTCCTCAGCCAGTGGGTAACTTCTACAGATTGAATGGATTAAGTCTGCCTCAATCAGATTTTAATAAAGTAGAGGAGTTTGTATGTGGAGTGTTTTCCAACACCAAGATCCAATTCTCTGTGGACACCAGCTGGGTGTCCTGTGAGCCAGTTCAGTTCTGACACTAACTCTAGGGAGTGAGTCCCATAAGACTGTCCCCACTGCAGATGCTAATCACGAGTCCCAGGCCGCCTGTACTTCTAACTGACCAGCTGTAAATTGGAGGTTCCCACAACCCCTCCTCAGTTTCAATAATTTGCTAGAACGGGTCACAGAACTCAGAGAAGTGCTTTCCTTAGTATTGCCAGTTTGTTATAAAGGAGACAGGAACACCAAGTGGAGGAGATGCATAGGGCAAGGGATGGGGTTCGGGTATGTGGAGCTTTCGTGCCCTCTCAGGATGTGTCACCCTCCCAGCACCTTGCTGTGTTCACCTGCCCGGAAGCTCATCAGAGCTCATTACTGAAGAGTTTTCTTAGAGCTTAATCTTGAGTCCCCTCTCCCCTTTCCAGGGATTGGTAGGTGGGGCTGAAAGTTGCAATCCTCTAATCACTTGGTCTTTCTGGTGACCAGCCCCATCCTAAGGCTATAGAGACCCACCCCCACCAAGTCATCTCATTAGCATAAACTAAGCCTCCATCTAAATGGCCTCAAGAATGACAAAAGACACTCCTGTCACTCAGGAAGTTCCAGGGGTTTGAGGAGCTCTGTGCCAGCAACTGGGGACAAAGACCAAATATATTTAGCATACCATAGTATGTGAACCAAATAAAACGGGTGAGAAGAATGGATACAAAAATGTTTCAGTTGTGCCAAAGACAGCAGGGATGATGTGGCAGAAGGCTAGCCTCCCAAAAAAGCCTGTACTCCTTTTCCATAGTACAGATGACACTGAGACACAGCTGTCCAGCTAAAGGCTCTGTTTCCCAGCACATCCCCTCACCCCACATCTGGGTGTGGCCACCTGACCAGTTCTCACTGGCAGGTGGACACATCAATATGTGGCACTTTGTGGCCAAAAGTTTCAGTAAGCATTTGTTTTTCCTCACTTTATTTCCCCTTCCATGGGCTGGATACAGTGGACAGTGAGGTCCTAGTGTAGCTGCGGGCCCTCCACGACCAGTTCAACTGGCCCCATCTTATCAACAGTAATTAAGAAATTGCCTTTCAGAAAATTTGCCAAGTCACATAGCCGGAGCATGCGCAGAAGAAATATTGACCTGAAACGACTGCAGAACCAAAGATTCTCCTGCCCACGGAACCAAAGGACTGGGACATGACTGGAACTTAAAAGTCAGACTCTTATCAGAAGTGAGGGTTCTGTCATTCAAGATGTCCAGTGTTAAAATTCCTTCCCCACCTTACCGTAAATGTTTGGAACCTCATCATAAGTGTTTGGAACCTCATCATATATGTTTAGAACCTCATGATAAGTGTTTAGAACCTTACCAGAAATGTTGGAAGCCCACCAGTCAAAACCTACCCCACCAGCATTTCCACGTGCCAGCCGGTTTTCCCTAACCTCTTAAATTTTGCCCCAAATAATGGGGAAGACAGATGAGAGGGCACATGCCCCTGTCTCCCTGCAAATCAATCTTACAAGAATAAAGCTGATTTCTCTCCCCAAAGCTGATGCCGTAGTTAATTGGCTTATGTGCATCAGGCAAGAGAACCCCAATTTTGTGCAGTAACACCAGGGGATGGTAGAGCCACAGCACAGGAGCCTGGGCAACAAAGTCTGCAAGGAGGAGAGCTGCCCTCCTGCCAGCAACACCCACTGCTGACTGTTGCGGGAGCAAGAAACAAGCTTCTGTTGTTGCAGCCTTGTTACATGTGTGGTGTCTGTGATGGCATCCAGCGTGAGCCCTAACCAGTGCAGATAATAAACTGACTAAGTAGGGCATACGTACTTCCACAAGAAAATCCTTATTTTTCTCCTCTAAACGACAGTGTTGGTATTCTAAGCACATCTAATTTCAAATAATGATTTTTAAAAATATAAAGTTTAATATGTATCTTTTACATCAATCTGCTTTACTGAAAAATTTATTTCATCAGGTAACGATAAAATGGCTAGTTATAGAACTCTGGAGATATTTTAATTGTAAATTTACCTTTAGTTTTACATAATAAAAATGCTTGGGCATTCTGTGCAGAAATAGCGAATGCCTTCTGAAGTCCTCACTGGTAGGAAAGAAAATTCAGTATGAAGCAGTCATATACATGGATTTAACATAAAGGTGCTAGGAGCCAAAAACTGTCAAACACAGCTCTTTTAAGCACTTTCTAACACTAATTTCGGTTGGATCTATGCTCTTTTCAACAAAGACTATCTGTAACCAGGATTAAACATTGTTTTGCCAAAAGATGTTACACTTAGTAAAAGTTGTTTTAACATTTAAGAATTAATTTTCAAGTACAGGCATGCATCATACCCCTCCAAACAAAGGTAAAGTTTTAAAAGAAATATTCTGAAACTTTTCTTGATGTTTGCTTTTTTCTATGTGTCTGTTATTAGTGGAGGAAAATATTAGTATTTTACATCTAAGCTATTATGGTGCTAAGATTTAGACAATTCAGACGTTTAATAAAGATATTAAAACTCAGGTTTTATTATTTGTTCAGTTATAATAACAAAGTTTAAATGTTTATTTCTTCTCAGAGCAAAGATGTACTTCTCTAGCACTGTCCTGTTAGAATTTTGTTACCCAGGAGAGCCATTGGGATGAAAGGGGAGGGGAGAGGGTGAGACGATTGCTATGGGACAGTCCACCTGTCAGTCAGACCTGGGGTGAGAGGGGAGGGGCAGTGCGGAGAACGTCCTATGAAAGCCCCTGGAGTAAATGATGTGTGTGTCCCTCCCTGCCATCAGGCTGAACCCACACCTGCCAGCCTCCAGCAGGTACCACTCAGGCCACCTCACTCAGCACACACCTTAACCCCATTCTCCTTCCATTCCTCGTGGGCTGTTCCTGATGACCGACTCTGATTCAGCTCTTAATCGTTAAAACAAAGACATACCTGCTACCTTCAAACCATACCTGGCAGGTAAAATCAAGTGGAAAACATTGGGAACTTTTAATGCCTTACCTCATATCCTTGCTAATCACATCCAGTGACCAGATGTTTTCTGATCACAGTTCCATATGGTGTTAACTATTTTTAAATAGAAAGTGTGCATGTAGTAAAGAGAGCGTTTCTCCAGCTGTACCAATAGGAAATCAGCTCTCTTTGAAGGAGGCTTGTTTCACCCCCTTGGTTGAAGAATCACCCAAAGGCTCAAGCTTGAACCCTGTGCAACTGGTTCGTTTCTGTGCTCCCTGACCAGTCCACACCTGAAACTTAGCCAAGTTACTCCCCAACAGGACCAAGCCCTAAAGTAATAATGGATCAGCATAAATCCATCCATCAAGGCCACAGGAAAAAAAGTCCATACTCACTGGAAGTATTATCTACGATATATATTTCTACACATTAGACAAAAGCCACTAGCAAATTTGAAACAACTCTGATGGCTAAATTTGGGGTTACACTTCTTTTATTTTAAGTTATTCAAGTGCTCCGCAGCCTTAGCCTCTTCCACATTCTGCAACAGCCTCTCCAATGCTTTGCAAACTGAGTCAGGGAATCCCCCACCACTTGTGAACCACTTTATCTTCATGGCCAGTCTCTAGGAACCTATTGCTGCATTCTTCCCAGCGGGTAACTTCTCCATTCTCTACCACCACAAACTTCCATTCCACCACCGTATCTGCTGGCAGGGACACTGAGTGAGACCAGAACCCATCCTTGCTACCCTGGAGTGGGATGTAAGTGTTCCATCTCCCAAGACTCTCATGGTCTCCAGTGACTGCAATGAACTGCACACCAGTACTTGTTACATAATGGACCTGGAACCTGACACTAACTTGCCGAGACTCTGAAGACATTGCTACTACCCTTTTTTGTTTCACATCCATTTCCTGACCTCTTGCATCCACAAGAGTGCTTCTGCCATAGTCCATTCCTTGGTTTGGGTTTAACACTGGAGCCTTAAGACTGCCACCCAAACCAACATCTCCCCAAGATGAGTGCCTGGACACCATTTCCCAGTCCTCGTGGTCAGCCGGGGTCTGATGGTCCAGCTGCGCACGGCTCACATCTTCTTTAGCTCTATCCGTGACCAGGTTGCTAGAAGGCAACTTCCCTGCAAAACATGGAGCTGCTTTAGCAGGCGTCTCTTGTCCTTTTTGAAATCCCCGTTCTTCTCTAGGAGATTCAAACCTCTCATTTCTTGAGTAACCCTTGGAGTGCCCAGTCTCAGATGTAGTTAGAGATTCTGTCTCTGGAAACTGTCCAGAAGGAACATGGTCTCTTGGACTGACACAGTCACCATCTTCTCCCGAAGGACTCTGCCGTCTGCACGCTGCTGCCTGCAGGCTGCCAGGGCCTTTGGTCTCTGAAATCAAACATCCATTGCTTTCTTGCAGATGCTCTAAAAGACAAAAGGAAAAATGTAATAGTGTTAGGCAGTTCATGTGAGAAAAACAGGTTAGACTGAGAAAATTTAATTATTGAAGACTATCACTGTCCACAGATCACAAAATTCGTTTCTATTAAAATCAAGTACTTAATTACCTAGTTTAGACACTAACTGCACCAACACTGTGCTCTGAGAATACACATGTATATCCAACCTTTTTGATCCAGAAGTGTCAATGTACCAGCAAAGAGTGTAAAGGAAGCGGCAGGGTGGAGAGGCAGACGTGTAACCCTGTCACCGTTCTTGTTCTTTGTAGTCTAGGCCATACTGGCATGCAACCAAGTCAAACTGTTTGGCCCCTATCAAAAAACATCCAGGGGGCCGGCTGCACGGCTGGTTAAAGTTCCACATGCTCCACTTTGGCAGCCCTGGTTCACAGTTTGAGATCCCGGGCATGGGCCTACTCCACTCATCAGCCATGCTGTGGGGGCATCCCACATACAAAAAAAAAAAATAGAGGAAGATTGGCACAGATATTAGCTCACGGCCGATCTTCCTCACCAAAAAAAAAAAAAAAAAAAGTCCAGCCTGGAGGGTGAAGAGCTGCATGGCTACCCTACAAAACAGAAGAGTACATCGATACTCCTGGGAACCAGGGGTCAGCTCTCACGGATGCGGGCAGATGAGCAGCAGCTGTCCCTGGGGGACAGCAGGGCAGCACTGGGCAAGAGCTGGGAGTGAGGGTGCGGGGAGGGGGCTGGTTTCTCCTTGCCAGCCCCGTGTGCTTCAGGAACCTCTCAGACAAAACATAGGCTCTTTACATCCCCTCCCATTGTACTCAAAGAAAAAATGTCCTTAAAGTTCACAATCCATGCTCCCTAAAGGCTCATTTTCCTTCTTGGCCTCCTCATTGGTAATCCAGATAGCTCCCTACAAGATGGAAATCTCCAGAATTTTACAATCACACAGATGGGGCTTTTGTTTTTTATTTAGGGGAGAGGGTCTTGTTGAATTTCGTATCTTTTTAATGGTGGGGTTGGAAGTGAGACAAACATTACTCCGAATTCCCAAACTTTCAACCTAAAACAGGAGGCTGGCTTTCAGAAAAAGATGAATGATCTGTCTGCTCGTCCGAACCAATCGGGGAAAGGCACAGGGCAGATTTTCAAGCGGCTGAACAGGAACACCACTCCACTAAAAATAAAGTTCACAGATGCCATTTTCTCCGTTAGGCTGGAGTCCAGGCACGGACAGCTGGCTAAGGGGGGAGCCCTGGAAGGGAAGGTTTTCCACCAGTCCTCTTACTTTGCCCAGCATACAGTCTCTAAAGTGTAGTTTTAAACCTAGACGTCAATTCTACTCTTCGGAGTTGGGTCCCCTACGAAGCGCGTCCCTTTCCCGGGGGTTAGACAGCCCCGCGCTGCCCACGCTGTACGAGGTAAGCATGGGGGAGGGCCCGCAGCTCTGAAATGGGCAGCCAGCTTACAGCCTCTGGGCTGCAGCCAAGGCCTTCATGGCCGGAGTCCAACCTGAACTTTGCCTTCCCGACAGAAGCATCCAGATAGCGGGAGGTGCTCACAGCACGGATGTTCCCAAACCCAGCTCTTCCATGGGGTGAGGCATGGGAGGACATGAGGCTATGGGACTGGGGCTGAGAAAGTGTCCCTGCTCGATCAGAGACTGAAGAGGGTTGTAGGATCCCCCTAAAACGAAGCACTCCTTTCCGAAGGCCCGGAAGGGGCGCCGCCGCTGCAGGCGCCCGCACTGCACCAAGCGCCGCCGAGTGAAGGAGCCCATCCCCCTGGGCGCAGGGGCAGGTCCTCACGGCGGCGCCGAGCGCAGAGCGCGGCCCCTGGACGATCAGCCAGGGCACCTCCAAGGCCTCCGCGGAGGGCGAGAAACCTGCCGGGCGCGTGCGCACCAGCCGGAGGAAATGCAGGGCGTGGGGAGCGTCCCGCTCCGGCCAGGGGAAGCTAGTCTGCGGGAATGGGCCGCTAGGAAAGCTCCAGGTGGGGTTTCCTCCCTCGGTGAACTTCAAAGCGCCCTGGCAGATGTGCCCTCGACACGCGGGGAGGAAGAATACCTGGTTTGGTGACCAACTCCGGCTTGGAAGGTCCAGGGCTCAGGCCGCCGCCGCCACCCTGATCGCCTCCCGCAGTCGCAGCCTCCCCAGGAGAGGCGTCCTTCTCCTGCTCCGCGTCCCCCTCCTTTCCCGTGTCCCGCAGCAGCCAAATAAAAAGCGCCCCGGCCAGACCCCCTCCGACCAGCAAGGCAGACCACACGGCGCCCATGGCTGAGAGGCCGCTTCGGCGGGAGACCACGGCGATCGGGACGGGGACTCAGGTCACGCAGGCAGAGCCACACCTACCCCGTCCGCTCCAGCCTTTTACGGTCCCCGGCGGCGGGCGCTGCCGCGTGGAGCCCAGCCCTCCGCGACTAATACTCAACTTTCCCAGCCCCGCCCCGCTCCCCGCCCCGCGGCTGCAGCCGCAAGCTCCCGGCAGGGCGCAGACTCAAACGCCTTCCTTTTCCAATATTTTCCATTTCCGACCCCGCCAGTCTCCGGCGGCCGAGTGCACGGGGTGCCCCGTTCCACGAGTGTCCCGTTCCACGTGTGTCCCGCACGCGTAAAGAGCCCAAGTGCGCACAGCTATCGCGCGCAAATTCCCTCCTGCCCCGCCGCCTTTCCTTGTCGCTCCAGGGCGTGCAAGGGCCAGCCTGGCCTCAGCCTGCGCCGGGCCCCTCGACGCCTCCTCCCCATAGACACTCAGCAGCAGCGTGGCCAGCTAGAGCCTCCAGGAACTTAGACACGGAAGAGGCCAACGTGCGTCGAGACGCGCGGGCCGGGGGCTCGGGCTGGAGAGGTGGCACCGCCGGGTGGGGTGGGGTAGGCGGGGAACACCGCGGGCGCGGGTCCGGACCCCTAATGGAAGCTCCATTCGGCTGCCAGTTAGCTGCGCTGAGTCACCCCCAGCCTCCACCTCCCCGCCTGTAAAATGGGAGGATCGGACTGCGACACATCCATCTATTAATGCCAGTCATCTTCCTCGACCTCTTTTAGGGGTTGTTGCAAAATGCGCGCCCTCCTGTCTGGACTGGAAGTTGCCCGGGGACAAGCTCCTACGGATGGGTTTATTAATAAAAATAGCAACCCTCTTTGTTAAACGTTGTCTGTGTGCCAAGTGTTTAATGTATGCATTTAATTTGATCCTCAGACAACAACAACCCTGTGAGCTAAGAATTATACACATTTCTCTGTAAATTGATGGTTTTACATACCAATTTCAAGCTAATGATTCCCACATTTGTATCTGCAGAGTGAGCCTTTCCCTTGAACTACACTCTCCTACATCTAACTGCTAAGGCCACAACTGGCAAATATCTGCCTTGGAATAATTACCGAAATGGCTCCCTCTGGTAAAACAAATCGTACAAATGTGCCGGATTCTCGAGCAGACAGAATTCCCTGAGAGGTGCAAGGCTCGGCCAGTGGAGTTCCTGGAGGACTGGTGGTGCCTTGGTACAGGTCACAACCCCTACAATTATAAGGGAGGGAATGTGGGGGAGGAAACCACCAACTGGGCATCTCCTCCAGGAGGCTGTTAATAACGTCTCAAACCCAACTCACTCAACTCCGGATCTTCCTGCCCAGACCTGCTCCTTGCCTTGTCTTCCTCATCTTGGGAAACGGCGACCGCATCCTTTCCCACTACTGAAAAAACAACTTGGAGTCTTTCTTGACTCCCCGTTTTTTACCCCTCTCTCAGGAGGCAGTAGAAAATTCTGCAACTCTTTCTTCAAAATATATTCAGAATTCTGCTTCTCTCCACAGCAAGTGCCACCCCCATCTGCCACCATCATCTCTCACCTGGATTTTTGCAGTCGCCTCCCACTGTTCTTTGTGCTCCCACCCTTGAGCACCTACAGGCTACTTTCAGAGCAGCAGTCAGAGCGATCCTGTGAAAACACTTCCTTCCTCCATGCCGCTGCTCAAGACTCTCCAGCTGTTCTTCATCTCATGGTGAATCCTTGAAGACCCTGCAGGGTCTGTCTCCGGGGCCCTCTCTGAGCTCTTCTCCGTCTCTCCCTCCTCCAGCCACACTGGCTTCCGGCCTAGACTCATCCTTCCTGCAGATATCCATCCAGATATCTATCCTCTCCCTCGCCCTCTTCAGGTCTTTGCGCAGGTGCAATCTGCCCTGTGAGGCCTTCCCTGATAATCCCAATTTTAATTCCAGCCGCCTACTTCCTCTGCCCTTCTCCTTCATTTGTCTCCTTAGCATTTAGGGCATCACTTCTTCTTCTTCTACTTTTTTTTTTTGAGGAAGATTAGCCCTGAGCTAACACCTGCTGCCAATCCTCCTCTTTTTGCTGAGGAAGACTGGCCCTGAGCTAACATCTGTGCTCATCTTCCTCTACTTTATATGTGGGACGCCTACCACAGCATGGCTTGCCAAGCGGTGCCATGTCGGCACCCAGGATCCGAGCCGGTGAACCCCGGGCCGCCGAAGCGGAACGTGCGCACTTAACCACTGCGCCACCGGGCCAGCCCTTAGGGCACCACTTCTAATACACTGTATCACCCATGGATTTGTGCTGTTTAATTTCTCTTTCTTCTCTTTAGAATGTAAACTATATGAAAGCAGGGTTTCTTGTCCTTTGTTCTCTGCTGAATTCCCAGCACCTAGAAGATTCCCAGAGTGGTCCCCTAAAAAGTACAGGTGGAGTAATTGAATTGAAAGCTCTGTACATTCCCAGTTTGGAGCATTACTGTCATCTTCATGTAGATTCTATATGCGTTTTTTAACACAATGTAGGTGTTACTGTTTTGTCAAGTAGTGTGTTTATCACTATACCATTGCAAAATGATGTTCTTTGCCTCTATATAGAAGACCTTTGAGCCTAAGAAGATGGGAACAAAAAGGGAAGCACACTTGGTAGGGATGAGGGAGGAAGATGATGCGTTCTGCTGGGACGAGTTGCATTTTAGGCACTGGTGGGAAGTTGGAACTGGGGGTCTGTAGTTTAAGAAGAGGTCAGGGCTGGAGATATCGGAAACTTCTTAAAGAGAGGTGGCAATTAAATCGTAGTAGACACAAATTTTCCAAAGGGAAGTCAAGAATGAGCTGAACCTGAGCCATCGGGGTAATTTTAAGAAGAAAGATTGGAAAGCTGCCTCCACATTGCTGCTTATGTGGCAATGATATCTTGATGTTATGTCTAAGGGGCCATAACGTAGTGCCCATTTTCTAATTGATTATTATTCTATTAAATAGAGTATAAATAGATACAGATGTGGATGATATTTTAAAGTTATATATGGGCTTTTTTTCTTTAACTTCATGCAAGAAAAGATTGTTCACTCCTGGTGCAGAGGGATAAGGACAAATCAAAGAAAAGCAGCTCTGTTTGCAGGGCTGGGCGATTAAAGAGAGTGGGAAGGAAGAGCTAGGGAAGAGAGAATCAGGACTTGTTTCCAAAGTCAGGGACAGAAAGCAGTGCAAGGTGGTGGGGAGGCGGGACGGAGGTGTCGCTCAGCAGAGTTTAAGTGGATGGAGGACTGAGACAAAATGGTCGGATTTGACATACAAGAGGTCGTCGGTGACTTTGCAGTGTTTGTGGGGTGGGAGTTCAATTTTGGGAGGCTGAGGTGTGAAGGCTGTGGAGTCCAACACTGAGTCAGCCCTCTCTCGAGAAATTTGGAGGAAAAGGTAGGAGAGAAATTGAAGTATGGCTTAAGAATAGAACAAGGCCCAAGGGAAGTTCTTTCAGACCGAGAGAGGCCTGGGCACGTTCGTAAGCAGGAGAGAGCCGGTGAGACCTCGACTGAAGATGTGAGGAGGAGAGGAGGCACTTCACGGGAATTCCACAAGGGAGGAGGGAGCGGCGCGTCAAGGACACCACTGGAAGGGTTGGCCTCTGACGAAAGAAGGAGAGGAGACAGGCATGAAAAAAGAAAGGAATGAACATAAGAAACATTTTGAGGTACAAAGGAGTCAGGGAGTGAGGCTATCATCCAAATGAGAAAAAGGAAATCTCACTGAGGTTTTAAGGAAAGCAAAGGAGGTAGGAACTAACCACTGGGAGACCTCTCCCTCCTGGAGTCCTGTTGATTCTTCAGTCACGCTGCTCCCTGCCCTGTCATTCCCAGAGCCCTCGCCCCCATTCAGACCCCACCTTGCTCTGCCTAGACAACTGCAATGGCTTCCTAATTCATCTCTGCACCTCCCTCCCCGCTGGCTGCGATCCACTCTGCAACCACTCTTAACATCATCGTCCTGAGAGGAGTCCTGAGCAGGCAACTCTTCTGTCTACCAGATTAAATTAACCCCATTTTAGCCTTCCAGGCCTCTATGACACAGCCCAAAGACCTCTCCAGGCCTTTCTCCTACCATTCATCTGCCCTCCAGCCACCAGGACTCTCCCTCTGGAACCTTCAGTCATTGGTCTAGACATTTCCTAAGAGCCACTTCCTCCCTTGAAACTTTTCCCCAGCCCCCCATCCCCCTCCCCAGCCCCCAGGCCCCAATTTGATACATCATTCTATTCTTTGAAATTTGACTACATAGTATAACTCTCTTAGTGCAAAATATGAGGTTTTCTCTTATGGTGTAATTATTTTTGTAGTTTATCTCCTCCCCATACTAGATTATAAATTCCTTTAGGGCCAGAGTTTGTTTATTCTTTGTATTCCCTGGAATGTGGAGTCTATTATTTAATAGGTCTTTTTACTATCCTTGTTCACTGAATACCTAATATATACTGGCGCTAGGCTAAGTGATTTGTAAGGATTAGCTCATGTAAAGCCCTGAGAGAAGTAATCTGCCCAAGGTCACACAGCTGATGAGTGACCAAGCTGGAATTTGAACCTAGTATTCTGACCTCCCAGGAGTCATGCTTGCAATGCCAGCTACACTGGGTCCAACAGCTATTAAATCAGGTCCAAATTGCAAAGCATAAAATTTAGAAGTGAGTCTGCAAATTTGGATGTGTGACAGCGGACAACCCCTCTGGTAGTATTTCAACGTTTACGGTGAATTTCGGCCTTGCTCTTGATTGGCAGTTCCTGTCTCCACCAGCCCTCACCGCCACCAGCACCTGTCCGTTGCTGTCAAGCCTCTGGCTCCTGCTACTCCACGTAACATTAACCACAAGGCAGCCTTTCTGCACAGCAGTCACATTGGAGCTGCCCAGCCTCAGATTTCACAGAGACATTTTCTAATTGCAACTGTTTGCAAACCTCTGACTCATCTTAGTTCCAGAATAGACTCAAGGCTGGGATCTCTTATGCTAAATGATGAAACCCGTAGAGAAAAGGAAAATCTGTGTTGGGAGAACTAGCCAACTGTTAGAGAAAAATAA